CCAGGCCAGTGTTGTTCTCCCCCCCCCTTACCCCTTAAAAAAAATCGTTTCGCTATTGTTTACAGAGCAAAAAGTGACACTCGACTACACTTATCTGTCCGGCACCCTCTTCAGATCAAGGTGGTGCCTCTACCCCCCGAAAAATAATTCTGCCTGCATCTCTGCAATAAATAGGGCTCATCTGAGCCTTCAGGTTGTGGATGATTCTAAGCAAACGAGCCTGTTGTAATTTCACATCATATAAATTGCGTATTATAATATATTTAGAAATGGCTGTGCTTTTTTTTGAACAGCTAAGGAAAAATAGATAGGCCACATGAGCATTACTGCACGAATTAGCGCCACAATCCTGCTGTGCTTTATATCAATCAGTGAGTGCGCAAGCCTCACGCTGGCACAGCTGACATAAATGGTATAAAATTATGTGAAGATGCATTCCATACACAAACTCTCTGGATTGTAGCCGAAATGATCCAAGTAGTTAGGAGGTGGGCTTTCAATGTTATGAAAAAAAATTTAAGAAAAAATAGAAAACTGTGCAATAGATGGCATGTAGCTAGTATTTAATTGACTTTTCTTTGGAAAAGCTCCTTTGCAATTTGTATTTCACACATGACACGATGATGAAGCTTGCTTAGTGAATGAGCAGTAGGATAGTAAACATGCCGACCTGTAGCGCATCAAGCTGTCGAAGTAGCTATGCCTCCGATGAAAACACTTGCGATCGGCGCACTTCTTCAAACTTCAAGTAATTTTGCAGTTCTCAAGGCTCGGACAGCTGCTCTTCCATGAGAAGGCTTCCATGTGACATTCAAGACCTACATTTCGGGTCCGAGGACCTAATCTCTTTTTGCGAGCACATAGTAGGTCAAACGTTTTCAAATTCAGCGTGGTACATTGGCACTAGAGCCTGATGCTGTTCCTCTAATTTTTCCGAATATTCCTGCACAGTTGTCTAAATCAGCGGCATTAAAGCGCAAAAGGGAACCTTGAAACTAGAAGAAACCGCAAATTTTCAGGGCCGTGTGTCGGCCCTTGTGTGTGGGACGTTAACATAGAGTACTGCTATGTTGACGAAGCTACTGGCGTCCCCTCCGATAGCTGCTTGGTTGCCTGCAGTACAAGACTGATGAAAGTTTCGATCCAGGAATACAGGGCTTATCAAGGAAGTTCTTTTTTTTTTCAGAGTTTTTAAAAACAAAGATATTGTCGAAATGGACTAGGCAGTGGCATTAACAAAAAGCTTCACCTTTGTCCTCAGTTGTAGGGGGAAGCTTGTTCTCTCGTGTGCATACAGCAAATATGGTTTGGGAAGCCAGCTGAACCTCATGAGCTTGCAGATGGTATCAACTTTTCTCAGTTATGTTGATCACCTGAAGATATACACGGGCTGTCATAGCAGCTGGTTCGCTTCGATTTCGACCACAACATCAGTCCCGAAGTGTGGAGGATCACTTTCAGGCTGTTCTGAAAAGACTTATGCCCACCATGCAAGAACACGAGAAAGAATCGGCAAGCTCGTTAGAAGAAAAAAAAAGAGAAATCTATAAAACCACCGAAACTTCACCAAAAATTACGCTTGACTAAAAACTAAAAAGACGGTTAATAGGGCCACAGTTTTGGAGAAAAAGTGTAGAACGACATTCAGAAAATGAAAACACGGCTTTCCAAGGGTTCTACCAGTCAAGTGGACTAACTAATAACCCGCTTCCTTCCAGCACAACAACTGATATTGCTTACCGAAACCTCTTTGAACCCAGATTCGCAAATCATTCCCTTGATAATTTATTTGTTTAAGGCGTTATGATGTCGACAGAGGCAGTATGTTCATCTTTGACATCAACATATAAGCAGCAGCAGGGCTCGATATCTTAAGGAGCAAGCACAAGTAATCAGCCACTCGGTTTCGTAGCGCAACCCTCTGGCTGACTTTGCTTTGAAGTTTTCACAAGAGCGAACTTGAAGTTTTCACAAGAGCACAAAGAGCGAATTTGAAAAAAAAAAAAAAAAAAAAACTTCTTCCTGGATAAGCTCGGTATTCCAGGATTAGAACATTGTTCAGTCTTGTAATACAGGGAACCACGTTGCTACCTTTGGACACAACTCTGGATCGGATGGGACGCCAGTAGCTTCGTCAACATCGTTGCTTTCTATGTTAACTTCGACACATAGCCACCACTTGCGCACACGCGGCCCTCGAAATTCGAGGTTTTTTTTTTTTAATTTTGGTGGTTTCGTTTTGCGCTTTAATGCTGCTGGTTTAGACAAATGTGCAGGAATATTCCGGAAAATTTGAGGAAACGCACCGGCCTTACATGTCCACATACCACATGAAAGTTTCACGTTTCGCCTTACGATGTGCTCGTAGCAAGCGGTTAGGTCCTTGGATTCAAAATGTAAGTCGGAAATGTATGTCTTGATTCTCACCAGGAAGGCTTTTCGTGGAATAGCAGCTGTTCCATGTTCTGAGAATTGCAGGGTAATTTTGGGGGTTTGAAGAAGTGCCTCTGATCGCAAGTGTTTTCCTCAGAGGTATAGCCACTTTGATAGCCCGGCGCCCCGCAAGTCGGCATGTTTACTATGTTAAACTGCTAATTCAATCAAGCATGCTTGATTGTCGTGTAGCGTGTTAAGTACTATTGCGATGACCGAAATCTAACCTTTTCTTCAAGCTCCCGCCGCTGTGGTCTGAGCAAGCGAACTAAAAAAAAAAGTTAACGCTGCCGCAGGACGCCGGCGGCGGCAGTGGCGGCTCAATCTCAACGCTACGCCAGCGCCGCTCCTCGAAGCGGATACGAGTTTTGGCCGGCTTCGGAGTGAGCTTTTCTAACTGACAGTATCTAAATGAGTTGGTATGTGCGCGTTGAAAAACACCACATGGTCGAAATTTCCGAAGCCCTCTGCTGTGGCATCTCTCACAATCACATGGTGGTTTTAGCACGTAATAAAACCCCCAAAACCCTAATTATTAATATCATTGTTATTAATATTTACCCCAAACGCTGGAAAATACGCTTAGACAGTTACTTTGCTTTGAAATATTCTAAAAAGTGTTGCTTGCATTAGTAAGATATACATGCCAGTACTATTTTTCATGATATAGTTTTTTGTGGTTTCCAGGATTTGTTTACAAAAACAGTTATTCTAAGATACAACTGATGTGATGACTTTAAAGCACCATATGTAATGTGCCGACCGCTGAGAGAGGGAAAAAAACGTTTTACTGTACCACGATTTTCTACCAGATATGGAGAAGCGTCTAGAAGAGTACATATTCCCAAAACTTTCATTGAACTAACTTAACTGTTGTTTTCAGAGTTCAAAAAAAAAAAGTAAAGGAATTACTCTCAAGCTGTAAATCCCATGACTATGGTCTACTTGTATGTAATATGTGCTCATGTTTCCGCTTCTTTTCTCTTTTTCTATTTATAGCATGTTTAATCGTTAGTCTGTTCGTTGGCAAAAAGAAACGATGATACTTTCTGTTACTTTGTGAACACATCGCTGTAACCGACTCTGCTGGGCCTAGTCACACAAGTCCTTGAAGTCTTAGACAGACCCGTTGTTGTATTTATCGTGGATATGTACTATGAAGTGTTAATAATATTATTAATAATAATACTATTAATATATTCTAAAGAAACAGCAGAGCTGGGTGGCCTTTCTTCTTTCTTCATTTCTCTCTCTCTGTTTTCAATCTCTTCTTGGTCTGTATGTGTTTACTTCTTTTCTCTCTGCCTTTCGATTTATTCCTTCATCACAATTTTAATCTTTTTTTCTTCCCGTTGTCTCTCCCTTTATTGCCCTATTCATACTTGCCATTTCTCTTTCCCTCTCACTCATTGTTTTTCACTTTCTGTCTTGCTCTATCTCCCTCTCTCTTTCGCAAAAGTTGACCCAATGGCGTGCATGATTAAAATGTTGCTTATTTAGGTCCATCTCTTTGGATCTCTTTCGTTTTCTGTTATCTTTATGCCGCACATCCCAGTTATTACATCCCACGCTAGACCGCTCAGCGCATGGCAGAGCGCTCTCGAGGTTATTATTATTATTATTAATATTATTATTTAATTTGCGTACACACAAGGACACGGAGGAAAGTGGGAGAGAGAGCAAGCTGGCAACTGTCACCTGGAGGGACACAACGCCTGCTTACTCTTTCGGGAAAAGGGAAGAGATAAACGAAGAGAGAAAGAGGAAATAACAAAGAGAAAAGTAAAGAAATGACGAAGACTTAGGCTCGGGAAACAAAGCATAAGACAATGAAGAGGAACAGAGCACACGCCAGGTGCAGTTTCTTTCCTGTAACTTAAAGCCTCCGGCAGCTTCGCTTATGAAACAGAGAGACAGACAGAGGAAATTGTCCTGAAAAAATGCGTTGTGATGCTCTCTTTTAGGGGGAATCTATGGCATTCGGATGTAGAGAAGGGAGGTTTGGCGAATAAGTTTATTTGGAATGACACGTCAGAGCCGACCGAAAGCGTTGTTTCCGTAAATTGGACAGATTGCTGTCGCTATGCGCGCTCCGAGGTTGTGCATGTGACTCGTCTTCATGCAGTATACCTGCTTGCTTACAAGAGACTAAGCTTTCCGCGTAGTCGGTATAGTTTGTTCTTTAGACCATGCTGTATTTGCTCTGCGTGGAAACTTTTCCCGGCTCAGACATTACCAATTAGTGCTCTGAACTCCTAAAAATACTGCCCCAATGCGCTAAAAAACGACTTTTGTAACTGCGCGTGCCTCACATCTTTGAAATTCTTTTCACCATAATTGTCGGCTTCTGGCAAGCTAATATGCATGCGTGTGTCTGTGTGGTAGAATCTGGAACGCATCAACTTTCCCAAGAAGTTCTTTTTGAGCATGTTCTTCAGTTTTGGTGTTCCAGAAAGCGAAACATTACAATTTTATTGTGCCTGCGTGCACCCGTTTGTTTCCGTACTAGTGATGTGCTCTATTATACAAAGCCCCCATGCTAACCGAGTTGCCGTTTACGTGTGCAGGTTGTGCTTTCTCGACTCGAAAAAACAATCGCATGGCTACCGTGCCAGTCGAGGAGACAGTGGTCCCGGAAGGGGCATCGCGAGGACCTACAGGGGACCAAACTGGAGGCAGCCTAGACGCCGGACACGCTCGCAGTGGCGGTGAATGCAAAGTGCATGACCACGATCCAGACATCGTTACCTACCGCAACAGCGACAGTGGCGCCGGATGCTACGAGTCGGGCGGCAGCACTCGGAGAAGCAACGAAGGCGCCATAGCCACTGGAAGCGTTAGTAGTGCTCATTCTACCAGCCCCGTCTACTGTGCCCCGAGCATCATTGCTGACAAACCCGTCCATGCCGTAGCCGGCGACGTCATAGAAACCTGCAAATACGGAGCACGTGCTCGATCTTACACGACTGAGGCGACACCATCAACCGCGATTCCGGCCGTCGGCAACGCTACCGACGATGACAGAACCCCTGCTGCTGCTGCCCCTGGTGGCAAGAACGGTAACTGCCGGAGCGGCAAGACGACCAGTGTCCGTATCGAGCCTCCGCTAATAACCCCGTCGATGCGTTGCACCATATTTGTCGACAACATTTCTGTGGACGTCGAGGAAGATCAGCTGAAGGCACTGTTCAAGCCTTACGGACAGGTGAGTCCACTGCTGCGCACGTTGTGCATTGCTGCATGTATTGCTTATTACATTTTATTGTTTTCAACATGTTTTGTCACAAGATGAAAAGTGCGACTAAAGGCAGCTTAGACTGTCTAACAATAGTACTAACACTTATGTATGTTTTCAATAGTTGCGTGAACGTTCATTAAAGGAAGGGACCTTGCGACACTTCGTGAGCATGTTCAGGAAACGTGGTAGATCGTTAGAGGCTTCTGAAAACATGCGAGCTTAATGTTATAGCACAGCACGCGGCCTGGAATTTGCAATTAATTCTCAAAGGCAGTTGAAAATTGCTTCATCTTCTCTTGACAAATGACGCTACTTGCTCAGAATTATTACGTCCCAGGTCTAGTATAAGCAGTTAGCTGATTTGAGCAAGGCACGCTCAAGTCGTTTCTGTGTCCGCCGCGGGAGGCTGCACTAGTGCATGCGTGCGTGCGCGATAGTATTGAATCGTCGCGCGTTCAAAGAAAAAAAATGCAGAAAGTCACAAGGCGCGCGCTACGCCATTTCTTTCTCCTTGCCATTCCTCCCTGCTTACCTTACGGCGCTTTTGTCTCAACCAGAGATGAGAAACTTTTGAAACACCGCTCGTACCGGATGGCTCTTAAAATTTTTACGACAGTGGATTCGTGAGGCAATGAGCTCCTCTAGTGAACTCATTTCGCGACTACTTGGTAAAGTACTGAAGGGCTCCTTTAAAGAGCTATGCAATAAAAAGGAGATGCACTGAACAGGAAGAGAAACAAAAACTTTATTTCTAAAAAGGTCAGTCAATAACGTCAGTGATTGCCTGTAGCCCCTAGTCGTCAGCCGGAATCCCTTGAGACACGTTAGCAGCAAGGGCTTTAGTGATGATGTCTTGCTTTACATTGGAATCTGGGCTAGGGAGCAAGGCCTACCAGGATTCTACCGTGTGTGAACCATCGTTCTGGCTCGAACATGTCCACACTATGTGGACTGAATTTGCTGCCACCTGACCACGAAATTTGCACTGGCACTGGAAAACTTCTGCGAGCCACTTGCTTTTAAGTATGGGGTTTCGAAAAACTCCATGTGTAACTTTTGCCACATAACCTTGTCTTTCTTACAGAGCGATCTAAAAAAAACATTTTATAGCTGCATTAGTGACAGTTTGCAACACGCACTTCGCATCGAAGCCTTTGTAGCCTTGAAGCTTAGTGAACGTGGACTCTCTATATTACAATGCGCAAGTATTTGCGTTACTTGAGATATTAGACTGAAAGCTCTACTCCCACAGCCGTTCATCGCATCGTAATGGCCTTGACCTCCCGTAGCGAGAGTGAAGCAGATGGGACGTCACGCCACGTGTTCTTGGGACAGACGTCACAGCCGCACTCGCTCGGAGCCTCGCCGCTTGGTACCCCGAGGTGGCTGAGCAAGGGGCAGTATCTAAAACGTTGGGAAGGGGCCAGTGCGGTTGCCATGCAAGATGGTCAAAGAGAAAGCGTGTATACACAATTCCCACGATCTATTCGCGGCGAGATTCGGCTATATGCTGCAGCACTGTTCCTGTGAATGTGTAGATAGGTGGTTCACGGCGCATATACAAATACACACGGCACTCTGTTGCAAGTAGTCTAAACCGATTGTCGGCGGATAAAATGTGTTGACTGTAGCTTACTGTTAATATCTACGTTCTTCTCTACTGAATAGGTGCACGACACTTATGAAACGTTAACATTACCAGCGAGTAAAGTGCATTCTGCCTTTCATAGGGATGCTCACCCTGGGTGACTCTCTTCACACTTTCGCACTAAATCATGCCTTTGCTGTTGTTTGTACGTGGTTAGTTTGTGTTCTGTTTGCTAGGCACTGCTATAGCATGACTTATCTACTTATTTGCATCTTCGTCATCTACATACTATAAAAAAAGAGAAAGAAAGATAGTAGAAAGCCCGCATACCTGTGCGATTAGTTCACTACTACCATTCGCACTTTATACGCATATGATTTTTTGGCTTATTCTGTTCGCCATGAGATTTGAGACAGTCGATAAGTCTAGCCAGGAAAGCGTAGTGGCTGACGGCACTTTCTGCTACACTGCATTTACTACGTGTACGCACATGTTCTTGTACCGGTAAAAACGTGAAAAAAATTATATAAGAGTTGAGCAGAAAGCTTTCATTGATGGATTACGTGCATGATGATGTGACAACAAAGGCCTGCATGCTTTTTTTTTTTTCAGAAAAAAAAAGACTACTTCTTTCCTTTGGTCACTAACAACGCCACACAAACGCTGAAGATGATGTAAAAAAGATGAAATTTGGAGTGAAATCGTACGGCAGTATATATAAAGCGTGCTGTCTGAATTAAATTGCTGTCTGGGCTCTTTAAAGCATTCTTAAATCTAAGCACATGGTTGCGCACGGTAACTCAGTTTTAGGTACAGTTTAAGACCGATGTGTCACAGTTTAAGTGATAGTAATAATTCTATGAAGTGATACCACAGGCAGATAAACACAAGTAAGGCTCCTAGTGTGATCGATGAACTACAGTGCTATAGTTGTAGACCTACCAACAGCATGCAAGTGCGTGGCCTAAAGCCTGTTTTTTTGTTTTTTTTTACAACCGATTCCCTATAAAATGTTGCATTCACACATCATTTGATAGTCTTCATGTTTGGGAGGATGCCAAGAGCATTTTGCGATGTGCTTGAAGCAGAAAGTGGCTTCCACTCTGACATTATTTTGGTGAATGGTGGGTATGACGACAGTAAACAGCATTCTGGAAAGTTGCACTCGCCGAACTTATTACCATTCAATAGCAGCCCAGCAGGACCAAATGCTTTTGTACGTCGATTCAGGCATACGTAGAAACAGTTACACTCATGCTGATATGACCGAACAAACCACACTTTCAAAACTTGCATGACGCACGTGCACATAGAAACATGACTTGGCTAGCAGACGACAAAGAGCTAGCAATCCACACTTCGCCTCTTCAGGCAGCTGCCGCCAGGCGGTGACTCTGCTTGATCTCGCAGCCAATAGGTGGTGTGCCGTGCAATCTAAGATGGCTGCGGAAGAATGATCAACCCCTGAACTTGGATAGGAAAAGATAGGACACACAGACGTACACCCCGTGCCGCTTTTGCCGAATGAACAATTGAATGTTGAATGAATGTATTTCCAAAGTACTTTCCCAAATGATAGGAACTGGTAAATGTTCGGTACCTCATTTTTTTGCCGTAGTGCGAAGAGTGGTGATGTCAGATGATCGACCGTGCATCGACGACGCCTTGCGAAATCTTGCACGTGCTACAGAAAAACTGCGTGAACTCAAAGGGACGTATGGACTGAACGCATAAAGAAAAAAGCTAGAGTGGACACTCCTATAGACCTCGGCCCTATCGATCCTAGTGCACCTGATGGTTGGTGAGAGCAACTAGCCTGCGCTTACGATTTTGGTTTAACTGGCGCAAATTTTGGATTACTGTGCACAGTCGACGTTTGTTGATTTGGCTATGGCGAAAGTTAATGATTTCAAACCACTTGTTTTCGCCCAAGTTGCAGGGTTATTGTTTGTTGTTTTTATTTAGCGATTTCTTACTTTGTATAGCTCAAAATTGTTCTTGCGAATCGAGGTCATGGCGTAATCTTCATTTTGATTAAGTTATAATAGAAAAAGATGCAGATATTCGTAATTCACTACGGCTTTATTCATCGTGCTTGTTTTTCTTTTTGAACGAGCGGTCAATCTATATATCAATAAAAGAGACAGGAGACAGAGTATCCGCCTGTTTTTATTCCAAGGCAAGGTAGAGGCTGAGCATATAAAAAGCACAAAATGAGAACGACATCACACAGAAATGCTTTGCTGCGCTGAATACGTTGCACAATGTTCACATCTTGCCGCCGCATATAGCCGCAAATTGTTTTTACTGTGATAGCAAGTATACGGATTCTCTCGGCTGGATTTTGCCGCCGGCGTCGGCGTCGCTCATTGTATATGTATATGTATACATGGGACCTCTGCCTCCTGAATACGAGGTGCTGACCACTCAGCCACTGAGGAGCAGCTCCTTATTCAATTTTCAAACGGCAAGGCTTATATTTACCACTTACCACTGTTGGCGTGCATCTCGGGGGGGGGGGGGGAGGAGGGGGGGACCATGCCTTGCGAAATTGCGGGCGCGCGGCATGGTTCTTTCCGGCCGTGCCAATCGCCGCGCTCCCCAGCAAAACCAGCGAGTATCACCTCACGTGCCTGGCTGCCGCGAGAGGGCGCGTTTAATGTGGGTTCCTCGAGTGGCGGAGACCACGGCAGAAAGCAGTGAAGAGCAGCGGAGACCACGGCAGAAAGCAGAGCGCGCGGGATTTCAGCGTGCGCATGTTTTTTTTTTTCCGTGCATGTAAGCAAATATTATCGACAAATGTCCTGTCTGCACTGAAGGTAAATATTTTTTTCTGATACTGTTTTTATTTTGGTTGAAGTGGGGAATAAAAGCATGCCAACTGCTGAATTTTTCTTATATAGATCATTGCAAGGAGGTATTATTTCGTCTGTGGCAGAGGCATTTTAGCATTCCCCGTTTCCGGAAACGCATATGTTGGTGAAAACTGGACTAGTCATTGTCATTGAATCATATTGTCCTCCTATTATTAGAGACAGTTCTACTATTTTATTGCGTACCGATATTTATCAGGCGGTCAACAGAATTCTACTTACGTTATAGATAGTTAAGTGCCCTGATCGTGTCACTTATTGCGATAAGTAATTGTGCCAGATTATTGCGAAAGGCTAATGATTAGCCGACCTACATTTACTTCCTATGTCCTTCGCAGTGAAAGTGCTTGAGTTATTGTCTTCTTTCTTCATCTGTATTTTGATTATGTTTTGGTAGCACAATGGCAATATCAGCATCGTGTTCATTTACAGTTATCTCTACTACATCCAAATTAATGGGTCGCACACGCGGCCGAACGGCGTCTTTCAGAAAACCAAGTATTTGT